AGGTTCGGCTAATGTTTATGCAGGTTGCAGTTGTGGAGGTTCGGTTGGGGGTGGTAGGAGTACCCGTATTTCATTCCCTTAGCTTGTGTTTAGACGTTTACTTGCTGAGTACCGTGTGGTTTGGTACTCACCCCTTGCTTCTACAAATTTTTGTAGGTTATAAGCCTGGATTTTTGTGGTACTTGTCATTCTCTTCTTTTCCGAGGCTTCTTGGAGATTTGTCAGGTAGCTGTTTCCATCGCAGCAGACTTTCTTCTCCTTAATTATGATCTTGTTCTATTCTAGAAACAAGTTCCTTTGAGACTTGAGTTTTTTTTTTGAATCAATTGTAATACTTTAGAGGCTTGTACACGTGACTACCAGGTTTTGGGGGTTTTATTAAGTTACTTATATTTTACTTCCGCACTTTATTGTAATGGTTGAGTTTTAGGCTGACTTGTCTTGGTGGGATAAGACGAGTGCCATCACGCCCATTTTTGGGTCGTGACAACTTAATATTTTAGCATATCATTTAATAGCAAACATTTTTTATAAAATAACAAATAATACTAATAAAGAAAAATATATTTGTGATGAAACTTAAATCTAGTTCATGCTTAACAAATTTGTGTTGTCATTGTCATTGAAGAACTATAAAACATTTTTCTTTTAAATTCTTTTATAAAAGTTTATTTTGAAATCATAAAAGACATTCTATATCTTTTCTATGTTATTAAAAATTTTCAATAAAACACCATCAACGTTTTCTTAAAAAGAAAATTGTACATGTCTCTAGTACTGAAATAATAAATAAAAATTAATATTAATGAGTCGTTTTTGTGTGTGATGTGATTCATATCTAATCGAAGATATAAATATAATTACATAATAGAGGAAACATGATGATAATTTTAGTTTTCTTCATATTTCGCTCACATACATTTTGAGTATAATCAGATGAAATATATTTTTATCATTAATTTTTTTTAGAAAATCAATGCGTAACAACAACTCCTCTAAAAAAATAAGAGTGATTCTTTAGCCAACTCGGCCAATTTCATATTTTTATTTTTTATATAAACTTTTAATATTTAAATTTAGATATAAATTATCTTTTCACGGTTAGAAATTATAAATGAAAAAAAATCTACACTTTACTTCTCTTTTATACTTTTAATTTTTTTTTCTCATTAAGAAATAAGAAATGAAAAAAGAATAAGAAAGAATAAGTAAAAAAGAGGAAAATTGAAATTGAAAAAGAGATATATTTTTTATTTTTTTACAATTATATATATATATATATATATATATATACACACACATATATATATATATATTATTTTAGATCTTGAATTTTCAAGTGAGAAGAGTGTGTCAAAATTATATTTTCTTTGGTGAATTTTTTGGTTCCTTTTCATGTTTAATTATGAAATTATTAATAATTAATTTCAATAATCATTTTCAATGTCTTGGAAACATAATTGAAAAATATATTTAATATTTAAGTTAAAGGGCAAAATTATCTAAAAATAAACTAGTTATAGTGTGAACATGTCATTTTACCATTCTGACTAAATTATGGCCAATTTTTATGGCCAAAAGGATTTTTCTTATCCCAATTTGCGTATCACTGTTTGATTTAAAACAAAGTTCAAGCTAAAAGAATAACTTTGAAACTTGTGATTTAAAAAGACCATTAGATATTTGTGTGAGTAGAAATTATTTCGGAAAAAAAAATACTCCCTCCCTTCAATTTTACTTGGCACACCTATTACAAAATAATTATTGATACAAGTATTTTATCAAACTATTCCTATTCAATAATGTCTTGAAAATGATTAAAATAAATATTTAATGTTGATGGTAAAATATTAAAAAAATTATAATTTTTTTTTATATATTAAAGAGGACAAATAAAAATGAAAATCTATTTTAAAAATAAATGACCACTAAAAGTGAATTGTAAAACTAATTAAAAATTAAGTTATTTAATTATAGAAAGATGAATTCGTTTGGAATTGATTTTAAAAAAGGATGTACATATTAAGGGTAGTGTGCAAAGGTGATTGACTTTTCTATTATTTTGTTAATCTGTCTATCATTTTCATATAGGTATAAAAAATGGGAACACTCAAAGTCAAAAGTTAATTGGTTAATTATGATTTTATCTTTATAATAAATTAAAATATTATAAAATATTTAATTGTTTAAACATTAAATTATATTTTTAATTATGTAAATGTGTAATGACTTTTGGACTTTGTTGTACTAATTGCTAATTAAATATCTAGTACTTTCTCCGTATATTTTTTCTTGTTACTGTTTGACTTGATACACCTATTAAGAAAATAATTATTAACATATTTTACCAAACTATACCTATTAAATGATGTTCAATATTAAGTCTTGGAGAATAATATGGAGAAAGAGTATTTAATATTGAGGGTAAAACATGAAAAAATATAATCATTTTTTTTTGATATGTCAAAAATAATAAATAAAAGTAAAAATTTATTTTAAAAATAAGTCACAAATAAAAATGGAAGAATAAATATTTTAAAGGTGTGCGAATCTGCGAAATGGAGAGATACACATTTGATAATGCCTTCCTTATTATCACTAAAAAATGGGTTTAGTTTCACTAATTTAAATTCGTTAGTCACACATGATAAGAACTTAAAGCTATTCAGATTCATGTTTACATGATCACTAAATTACTATTTTCTGCATGTACCCATTTTGCAAAGATAGCTTTAATTTAATTTAAATATATTTATTCTATCCTTCATTATCTGTTATTTTTCTTTTTATTTGCTTTAAACATCCACTTTCGCAATTCATATCTACCTATTCCATTGTTTCATCCGTAATATCACAACTTTTATATTTTCGTATTCGTAACCTCTAAATATTTAATTTAAAATTTTTAAAACAGTTTTTGACCTTCCTTCATTCTCATCAATATAAATTTATGTTTTTTTTTATCAGATTCTTACCCATGTTATTATAGACAGTGAAGTTTTATTGATAAATTCATATTAAGTTTGAATTAAATCTTAAATTTATCATACGTTGACCAAGTCAAATTACTGGTTGATAAAGTTAGATTAATATCTAAGTCAAAATTGTATGACTTAAATCAAGTCTATATTACACTTGGGTCAGTCCATTAAGTTGACAAGATGAGCCCAACTCATGATTCTTCAGGCTCATGGATCAAAATTGCTCGGACCAAAATACCCTAAAGCCCTTGTGGAAGCCTATATAAGGAGGTCTTCATAAGACGAAAATATAGAAAAAATACATACACACAGGATTACATAATTGCTCTTCAGTGGTGATCTGCAAGTCTTCCGCACACAAAGAAGTCTTCGCTCTAAGTGTTGAGCCTCAAGTATTCTGCCAAATCAACAACATCTGTAAAGAGAAGAATCAGGGGATTACATATCTTTTTGAGATATTTTATAAAGATTGTAACATTCACACTAATTCAAATACAAATTTTATTGTTTGCTTGCTATTTTTCCTTTCATGCCTATTGTATTTCAGGATTGAAACTTTAGACGCTTACAAATTGGCACGCTCAATGTGACAATCTTTACCTCTCATCTTTTTTCTTCGAAAATAAAAATTCAAGAACACTAAGATGGATTCTAAGAAGATCAACTCAAAATCTACATCTGCATCTAAATCTAGATCCACATCTGTATCTGCATCAGCATCTAAATCCGTATTCGCATCTGCATTGAAATATGTATTTGCATTTGGATTCACATTTGCTTCTGCAAAAACTAATGGATCCAAATTTTGCATCGTTGTGAAAGCATCGTTGATGTTATTGCAAGAAATATTGGACCTATCACAAGGAACCAAGCAAGATTGCTTTGACAACAAGCCTCACGAGTGTCGTCTGAGTTTGCTATTGCCTTCGGTTTATCCCCAAAATGTGCGAAGTCTCCTACAAAAGTCGTAAAACAAGACATCGCCGAAATGATCGAGAGGGTTCTTGCCCAATTAAGCCCACCTACATGCAAAAAGTACTCTTCGACCAATAATGATGTCATAAGCACGAGATCTACCCCACATAAC